TTTAATATCTGCCCCCCCCCCCCTTTCCGAGTGTACGGCGATAATTAGTAAAAAATATCCCGCGCAACGACACTTGCAAAATTGTGCCAACTAAAGAGGAAATGATTTCGCTATTAAATTATAACATCAATTCGATGCACTCGATCACGTTGAGATGTGCGGGTCAGCTACGGTGATATTATTTCGAGGGCTCATGAATAATGGACAGCATATATTAGTGTTGCAAATGTAACATTAGTTACATTTGAATCGAAGATAATGATAATCATTAACCATAATTTACAAATAATATATGAGTTGATTGTGCCAGGGAGCGCAGTAATTTCCACCGAAGCAAATCCGCGTGCGGTCGCATGATCGCTAACGAACCGAAAACTATAGACTGCATTACGATACACCGTTAAATCACTTTTGCAACCCATCGTGTACTCTCGACAGTCACCAACTGTTCATCGATCGGTCAGAGCGTGCGTAAAATCGTGATTATGTCTTTTCTCGAAAAGAAAAAAAAAATATATATATACATATATATATACACCTCATGCGAGCAGTCACCACACTTCTGCCGGTTTCATCGGATTGATGCAAAAATTCGTTTCATTCTTTAACCGGTTCTTCGTGCAGAAATTCCCGAATTTCTACGAATTGCAGCTAACGGAGAGACGGCGGTTCACCAAACAAATCGGCGTATACTTAATTGATTGATCGTATCTTGAAATAAATAAATGTTAAATGTGTGTATTTTGATTAAGAAACGAAGTGAACTTTTGCATCAACCCAAATAGAAGCGAGTTAAAAATTAGCAGAATTAAAATTCTCCAAGATACTAAATGTTACTCTGTCCTCGATAACATCGAGAAAACCTGTCAACATTGAAACTTACACCAATGCGAACACCGTTTTTAACATGAAAGTTCTCACAAGAATCCAATTTTTCGTTCGCGCCATTTCACAGGCAGATGCTAGCGAACCGGGATGCTGGGTTAAATATCATAACTGCAGCGGGTCTTCGCGCTCGAACGACTCGAATTATGTTACATAATATTCGCTTACTTGCTCTTCGAGTATCGCTACGTACAATGGAGGCAGGCACCTGGAAGTTCGCGCAGCGTTTGGTTTCGTTCAAGGTACATTGTATCGACCAAACCATACAGAACTGACGGAGATCTTTCTCCCGAGTTACCGAGCAACGTTTTCATTACCAAGCGCATCGTGATCTTAATCGACACGTGACACGTCGAATGTGACGGATGAATTTTTCACAGGTGACAAACACGCTAATCGATCGAATAGCTGACGAGAAACGATAAAAGAAAAGTACTTTTCAATTGACTCACCCATGTCCATCGATTGATTCAGATCCGCGCTAATCTTTCCTGAAACAAAAAGTGTTGAACATTATTACAGATCAACTACGAATTCCTGAGACGACAATCGAAAACAACCGAAGATATGTGGTGATCCTTCGATAAAAAGAAATTTTGCTTTTTTCCGAATTATTTGACGGATACCAATGTATATCAATTTAAATAAACGCTAAAAGTATGATGCGAGGTTCTACGTATTGTAAATTTTATTTAATACTGTTTCCCGTATTGAAAAAACCAACGATTCCGGTTCAAACTTTTCCCTCACGGCACAGAAAGATCGTTTACGGAGGACAGAAATTGATTTCTGATACAAGGAAATCGTGGGGTTAAACGTCTGCCACGACTTAGCGGTGGAAAGCACATTGGAACGGAATGAAAATTACCGCGCGCGAACCGCGCCCCCCGACGCGGGGAAAAAGGAAATAAAGGCGAGGAAAAAAATCCCGAGGGCAACGCCGGCGCGCTGAAAGAAAAAAAAAAGATCCTCGCTAATAGGCATTATATTTTTCGTTCTCCACATCGCGAGAGGTAGACGGATTATGGGCCTGTCAACGGTCTAATAACTGGTTTAAGACCCGCTCCGCATCTGATACGGGAAAAGGACCCCTTCTTATACAATGTGCGCATTAAATACTAATCGTAATGCACGCCAGCGCGATCGCAATATAATGGTACCGAGGTAGGCGATCTCGTGTATATAGCGGCTTCAAAGGTGCCGACATAAAAAAAAAAGGGAGAGAGAAAGGAAAAGAGAGAAACGAGAGAAAGAAGGAGGAAGTTTCGAGAGACGTGCGATCACTTTCGCGAGAGATTTCCGCGACTGTTTATTCCATAAAAATTATCCGATCCCCGCTGAAAACCAGAGAATTACCTACGCGGAGTTTCCCCCATGGATTCTCCATTTTTTAACTTTAGAAATCTCATATCGGGGGAAACAAAGGGTAATGTAGAGAGCCTGCAGCGGATAATAGCATCAGCTATTGCTGATTGCTGCGAGCTCACTGCGCGTCGCACTTTCTGCAGAGAGAATAGGAAAATCATGCCCGGCGTTATCCGTTCGCACTGTACCCGTTATTAAAATAGCGCCTTCGTATTTGCGATCGCCACGAGGCCATCGGCCATTTTCTGTCGCCGTATGGCGATCCCGGCGTCGGTCGGTTGTTGCAATTTCCCCCTTGCTCGCCCCGGGCGCGCTCTCCCTCCAAAGGGGTTGCTCAGGGGTGATGTTCCTCCAGTAAGGGGCCGCAGCACAGAGGGTTCATCTCTCTCATGCGAGGCGGTTGGTGGCACGGAATTTCACCCCCGTGGGGTCGACCGCGGAGAGAGATATCCCAGCATATTATCCCTCGGGAAGCCGTGTAATGAAACCGTTCCGGCACCCCCGTGGCATTATTCCCTCGCCAATATAACCTACCGCCCTGCGTAAGAATATAAGGTGCATGATACAAGGCGCAGCTGCATGTCGGCATCGATACGCCCCCTCTTTTATGCGTGTCGTCCCTTAACGGAGGATAAACAGGCGAGAGAAAGAGAAGGAGAGAGCGAAGAGAGGAGGAAGAGCGAGAGAAAAGGGAAAGCCAGCAGCGGCAGCGTCATTAAGAAAACTCCCGTGCGCCGTGTCAACCCTTCCTCACCCCTTCGAAAAATCGGCCGGTCGGCATTTCCTGGAAATTTCTCGCGAAAGAACTGCACGGGATGAGCGATATTGCAGATTTCACGGAAAGAATCCGTGGGGTGTTCGAGATGCGTCGCACAGATTATTGTACGTACGAAAATGAAGTATGAGATATAATCGCGTGCAGACGTACGTGTGTGAATTCAATACACGATTCAAGATGAAGGGAGACGCGGTGGAAGAGCGGCAAGAAAATGCGCCTTTAATATATACGCGACACGGAATTTTATAGTTCGCCAGACGCACTTGAGAGTCGATGTTTTATCTAGTTTGCGTTTAACGAGGACGGGTCAGTGGTAGGAGGGAGAATAGCGTATCATGGGCGCCGTTATTAGTGAATCTGCACAGCCATTTCACCCTCTCGCAACCATCGTACCAGCTGGCATTTTTCGATGCTTTCGCCGCATGTTCGCATGGACAAGATAACGAGGTATCGCGTGTCGAAAGATGAGGATGGTACTTTTTCAAAGCGACAATACGCGTACCATGCATGAGAGTTACGATTCTCAACCGGATACACGCGTCTGGCGCGTATGGAATGAAGAAAAATAATCATTCATAATCGCACATCTTCCCCTTCCTCCTTCCGTACGTAACTTACAAAGATAACCGAGGAAATTTCCGAAGCATGCGTCTCGAATATTGTTGCGTCTGTTAATGACACGAATAAAATATCTTTAGATGTGAACACAATACTTAGTCGTGCGCGCACAAGAGAAAAAGATTTTCGCACAGAGAGACGACTCGTGGGAATACCAAAAATATATATCTCGTATAACGCCATATCCTCCTGAGCTTTTTACACGGTAATACATACGTTGTAAATACATATGAAAAATTTCTCATATAAATGTAATTTTTTTTTATAATGCATTCGAGTTGCATCTTGCGTTTCGTCCGCGCTTCATTTTTTCTCTCTCTCTCTCTCTCTCTCATCCGTTCCACTTGTACACAGACGTATGATACCGTCTCGCCCATTTTCCCGTTACTTCGTATTCTCATGCCTGCTTTTGATCGAATAATCGCCAATGAATGCGACAGGAATCATTAACATCTGATTAATATCTGCGCACACAAGCAGCGCGTGAAACATTGATAACGTGAATAAATAATCATCGTGTGCGAGCTGCGAACGACGGGTTCGTCCACGTTTACCGAACAACGTATTCACACAGTCCTTTCTCCCCGTCTCCCCTCTTTTCTCGTTGCTCCTCTTTTCACGATCTATCGTCATTTGTCAATAAATATCGTCACAATCTCCACGGAACTCGGGGAATATCGAAATCGATCCAGCTTCGGCGCACGAGTGTTATTCTTTTACCTCTATGATCCTCTTCGCCGTTGAATAGCTCTCCGCCAAACAAATAAAACTATCTGTATTACTTCTGTCGTGTTGCCACGCACACGTGTGTGTGTGTGTTCGTGTCGCTTTGAAGTAGAAATAATAACGACGAATGTGACCGGTTGTGATTGAAACATCCTCTGCAAGCAAGGGTCCTTTGCACTTAATAACGTAACTCTCTTATCGTGTGATTAGTTATCTTGTCGCATAATGCCTAATCGGAATATTTACGTCGCGGATTGCGAGGGAGAGAGAGAGAGAGAGAGAGGGGCTACCTCGGCGTTTAGCGTCGGCACATTCTTTCGGATCGTTGACTTCATCTGTTAACGAAACGTCCCGCGGCAAACCGCTCGCGCACAGAGAAATGGGGCCCGCTTTTCGAAGGCCCTATATGAGAGGGGCAGCTTTCGATTCATCGTACAATAATATGACGGAAACGTCAGTCAATTAATAAGCATAACGAACCTGACTAATTTCCGCCTTTGTTCGCCTGTGCGGCCCTGGATGGATGAATAAGTGGCCATTATGTGTAACGTGTGTATGTGTGCGTGTACGCGGCCTTTATGATTGGTCAGATCCGTATCACGACAGCCGGTTCCGCTTTAGCATCGAGCCGCGGCGCGACGAAGCCTCGTGAACCTTTTTTTAACCGCGTGCACGTGCCGACGGGATATCGTTTTCGTTCTTGATCCTACCGTCGCCCTTTCCGCCCATTCCGTCGACTCGCGGACGCGTTTTTTTTTTTTTCGTGACCTGACGCCTACATCTTCCGCTGCATCGCGACCGCGATGGCGGAGATAGAATGAGAAAGAAGGGGGAGAGGGAGAGAGGGTGGAGCGAGAGAGGTGAGGCAATACCTCAAAATCTCGGAGAATCCAGATGTGCATATTTACCACTTAATTTAACAGATTGAGGATTATTGATTTAATTATATCCACAGCTGCGATTGCTGTTTGATTAATCCGACGATTACACGCGCAACACACAACCGAGATAGAAATACGTGTGTATTGTAACAACACAAACGTGGAAAGTACATGATCGCGGGCGACGCTCGTTGCGAGATCGTACGAGAAAAATGGGACAACCCCGATCGGGATTGCAACGTCGAGGGAAATTTTATGGTCGCGAAATGCATGGAAAAATTTCACCGGGGAATATTCGAAAGTGTAGAAAATCGCGGAAAAAATTGCAGTTCCAAAAATGAGTATTTCATGCGAATACGAGTCGCGCATTTTTATATTCATGGAAATACGCAACACGCTAGGTGAGAAGTCAATGGTTACCCGCCGTATGGTCGCTACACCGTCGCTGAATTTTCATTGTGCGATTGAAAAATATTTTCATATATTTCAGAATACGATTAAACATTTTTTATCATATCTTCCACGTTTTCCGAGCTTTTAAAGTTTCATTTACATTTTACGCAGTGTCTGTGAAAAACTCGTAATACAAAGCATAAGCCTGAAATATTTTACAGAATACACCGAGAGAGAGAGAGAGAGAGAGAGAGAGAGAGAGATTGGAAAATTTTCGCAAGCCAATAACAGCAAATTGTTCCGCGAGAAACACCGAATATTCCTTAAGTGATTGATAAGTAAACTTAGTTTAGCATATCACGGAAACAAATAACGGCGATTTTTATTATCGAATTCCAACCCATGGACCGTAACACACCGTGAGCGAGTGAAAATCAAATAATAAACGTTAATCCGTTTAATTGAAGCACCCCCGTTCCGCACATCGCACGAGTATTATTTCTATTACCCTCAACGGTAACGACCGTCACACATAGGTGAACCAAACAAAAATCGCCCCGGCGTCTCGGCGTCCGATTAGTCGAAAACTTTTCCGTGACACTTGCGGCAGACAGAAGGAGTTAAAAATTTCGCTGAAGGATCATCGCGCTTTAAGCGTTTTCATTTCGCAGCATTTCTCCGGACGCGAAAGGCCGCAGAAAGGAAAAAAAAAGCAGCAGAAGGGGAAAGG